CCGCTTATGTGTTCTTCAATCGATCAAAGCCTCGCCCTCTAGCCGCCTATCTGGCTGATCAGAGGATATATGGTCCGACGTCTATTCAAACTTCTGGCAAACTGATTTGATCAATTTTCTTTAGCTGTGCCTAAATGCAATACGAATACAATTTGACAGCTGTTGGACTCACGCCACGTTTTCCATATATTTCTCTTGGCAATTGTATGGGATTGGACTGCAAAAAGCCAGGAGCTGAGGTATACCCACCATGGTAGTTAGTATAAATGTAAATGGAAAATAAGATCTCGAATTTGCTAATACCATACCAACGAAACTCTCGTACGCTTGAATATTACTCCAGGTTGAATTTCTGATGAAGTGTCTGCAATCAATCAATGCCACCATAACCGTGAATCAAGCGCGCATGGACTACAGCGATATGTTGACAATGGAATTTATCCAGTGAAAAGCTTTTGTCCAGTTTTTGACTGCTCATCTTTGCAGATAGCGAATGGCAGCGCCGATATTACACTCGGCACCGTTTGGCAGAGTGAGTCTCGATACGAGCAGGTAGGTTGATACAGTTCTCCCAATGTGGCATGATTCTTGCTTCCTTTTCAGGTGGATTTTACAGTGCCCATTGGTGTAGTGTATTTTGGTTACGTCATTAAGGAGAGCACTCAAGTCGAAGTCGAAGATTATATTGCTGATGCGTTTCGAGGATCTGTAGGCAAACACAAATTATTGCTACTAAAGCTAATAAGTCTATTTGTTGCGTGGCATCTGAATACTCAAAAGCTAACCACGTTCGCAAAGAGGACGTGTTCAAGGTTACATCTCGCAACTGTAGTTGATATAAATTAGCTCACAATGCAAGACAAGCTATAAATTTTGCCTAGTTGTTTTCAAACTGAATTTTGAATACTTTGAAATCATGCTGAAATCAATTTATGCGATCCCTAAAATTCAGTTTAATCGTGTTTGTAGTAATTTGATTGGAGACAATCTGAGGCTAAGTGATCCTGCTTTTCTTCCTCTCTCCAGCATTTCTTTAGCACTATTCTGTCAGTCACATACCAGAAAGCCAATTGTATTTCCTTGTACAACTTTGGAAAACTTTGGCAACATATCTCCAAACCAACGTTTGATAGCACGCAAATAAATGACAAGATCCGTCAGTCCCAACCCTTATGCGTCCTTTATGTCTCAACAAAGCACAGTTTCTTCCAACCT